AACGGATATGGAGGGGCTTCCCAAGGCCTACCTCCCGATCATTGACAGGCTATAAAAGGTCGAATTGTTGTCGCGCTTAATCAGTCAGTGTCGCTCGTACACAGGAAGAAGTCTGTCGGGTGTTGACTTTAGATCATTTTCAAAATTTCTTTTCTTGATTTTGATTAATTTTTTAACGCTAGTTTTTTAATTACTGTCTCAATAAAGACCAACTAAATCAATAAAGAGACTCACTGTGTCTGACACTGACTGGCCAATTTATCAGAAACCGGTTTTTGAATTATTAAGAGTAATGTTTGCGATGCGGTGTCTTGTGATCAGGGTGAGCTTCCTAACTTTCGGAATAATTAATTATATATAATTTCAAAAATTTTTTGATACGTTTTTTTTAGTTTTACATTTTCTTTATTTCGAGATTTCCAAAATTTCTTTCCTTTTTTCTTCATTTCATTCTTTTCTGGATTTAATTCTGGCATTTATACTCTCGAGGTGGGGAAGCTCACCATGGTTAGTTAATATTTGTTATATTCTATATATGTGAGTTTATGTTGTCTCTGAAGAAGGCTCAAAAATGAGCCGAAACATGTAAGCGCTTTAGTAAAATAAAGAAGTTTTACGCTAGATAGTCGTGTTATTTGCGCAATGTCTCCCGCACTTGACTTCTTCTATTGCCCTTGTTCTTTCCTGGTTTTCTTAATAGTATTTACTCGAAACCTTTTTTTGTATTGATATAGAATTATTTTTACACAGAATTTAATGTACTCTTACATTGATTAATTATTCTAATTATTATACTTATTACAAATATTCATTTCAAACATTTTATTAGTAATTTGGTGTAAGTTGACAACCTGGATTAATTTGCCTCTTAACAAAATATTTGATAATATATTTATAAATTAGATTGGAATAACTGAAAGTACAACTATTTGCATAAAAATGAATAACACTATATTTTTAATAAAAATCTTATATTACTTGCTTTCTTTGATGAAAAGTTATCATATAACAACACAGATAACATAATCTCATTTTTAAAAAGTCAGTGCATGGTCTCGAGCTTGTGCAGATTGTAGATAAAAACTCAGTTGAATCTTACTTCTCAGATGCAAAAGGAACATGCATTCAACTGAGTTATGATGTCACAAGTGAGAATTATCTGAGAACCAGTGTAAATGGGAAGCAACTAATATAAACTTTTTATTACAACTTCATATAACATATAAAAGATGTCGGCAAATTGTATATTAAATTCAAAGAGATGCATTCAAAACGCTTCGTTTAAAAAATGAAAAAATCCAGGCTGTAATAGTTTTGGAACGCAAAGTGAAATATTTGGTATGTGACGAAAGAAAGTTCTAATGCAGGAATAAAAAGCAGACCTATACTTCTCGTACTGGAAATGTATATTGGCTCCTGTTCGCTACTTCCAGAGATCTAACGTCATATCGTTATACACTTTATTTTTATAACCTAATCACTATCAATTGACGAAAATTAATTCGAAACTAACTCGCTAAGGAATCCATTCGTCGACGAGTCATGCACTACTGTATTATCTTGCATACTGACATCAGACTCTCAAATAGATCTCCGGATTTTTATTCTTAAAAGGCAGTAGAATGCAGTAGAAAAACACACTGCGCAAATCGAAAGTAAAATAATAAAGTTACGAAAAACGACTGCTGTGTTTACTCACTTGGTCAAACTGCTTGACATACGAATATACACACGTCGTAGTTGAGGTTAGTTCAAGTTACTGCATCCAATCGCGGCGTGGTCTCCCGTTTCTTCGCACGTTCCGTCTACAGTCTACGACATAAGAAGGTACGTGATAAACTTTGGGATTTTCGAAATTCCCTTACCGTTTGCGACAAATCGTACCTCCGGCCTCGGTAAGTTCGTATCGGAGTCCGATCTCAAGCGAAGCACTTTTGGATTGTTAACGACTATGGCTGCGTTCCGTTTCACGCATGATGCATCATTTATCCTTGTTTAACATTCGGTGAATAGCAAGGATAAAAGATGCATCGTGCGCATGAAACGGAACGCAGCCTATGTTTAGCGCTAGTGAAGAGGTTAGAGTTAGGTTAGGTTAGGTTAGAAGAACGACTCGAAAGGACGACATACGAATATATAACGCATATCAAAAAGTCTGGATATGTTGTCCTCTTCGGATTTCGATCGCATCGACTTCACCGTCGTGCAATTGCGACTTTAATTTGAATTACCTACCTTGTTCCTCGTTTTCTCCGAAACGTGCAAATCTGCTTCGTCGTTCGTTTGTCGCTTCGACGCCTTCCGCTCATTCGTTGCTTTCGTTATGCCGATGGCTAATCGTGAGATAAATTGTTAATATGTCGTTGAAAAATCGTTATTTATATATACAATTATATCACTTTTATCGGCATGACAAATGAAAAACGAATAAATCCCTGCCACGACTTCCTTTGGGCGGTCGGTACCGGTCAAAGTACGCAACGTACGCAACTGCGTAACGCACCAGCAGTGATGCAGATGCGTTTCTGGCGCATGCGCGTCGAATGTCAGTATCGTACTCGTTACCAGTAAACGGGAATTTATTAGTCGCCTACGTAAAATTTGTTAAAAATTCTTAAAAATTATAA